ATTTCACCTAAGTTGTATTGACACTCCCCTGTGTATACCTCACTGTTTCTCTCTTGTTTCCCAACCCCGAATCTCACAAACCCTGTAATGATTTCTTTCTTGTTTTCCTTCTAGCTTCTTCTTTTGTTCTTGAGAGTTTCCTCTCTTTCCAGCCCCTCAAGCCTTATCCCCTTGATTAGCCTTAGCCTCCAAGCCTCTCCACCAAGTGTTTTATATATGCAGTAAACCCTAGCATAAAGCAAACTTGGTCCCCAAGTAAACCACTGAGAGCTCGACAGGTGTCCACTACAGTCAGAGTCGTCCTCACGGATTCTGTCGTCTAGTGTAACAGCTCCATACACTTTCCAGCTCATCCTTTGACTTTACTTTTACTGATGCACCAGATAAAGTATCCACTTGGCATGTACACGTGGATATGAGTCACAGAATAAGAATTCTCCACCTTGACTCATACTCCACGTAGGCTTCTCTTACCTCTCTCCTCTCTGCACCCTAGCTTCTTACCAAGCTAGCTCCACCAAGCTTCTTATCAAGCTAGAACCTCCTAGCTTCTCACCAAGATAGCACCACCTAGCTTCTTACCAATCTAGCACCTCCTAGCTTCTCACCAAGCTATCACCACCAAGCTTCTTACCAAGCTAGCACTGCCCCCACATAGCTTATAATCAAGCTAGCACTGCCTAAAACAGCTCACTAAGTCCATACAGTACTTGAACTTTGAAATCGGTAAAGAATTTGTTAGCATATCAACAACATTCTCAGTTGTATGCACCTTCTTCACCTTCACATCAACGTGTTTCGACACTTGATGTCTTAACAAGTGAAATGTACTTTGGTTGTCACTACACATTCTCATTCTCCTGCTCAATCTCAACTCCTGAACCATTCCAATCATCCACATAGCTTCTTTGACTGCCTCAGTCACCGCTATGTATTCAGCTTCTGTCCTAGACAAAGCTACCACCGATTGGAGGTCTGACTTCCACCTCACTGCAACCCTAAAGAGAGTGAACACATATCTTGTTAAGGATTTCCTTGTGTCAACACTATCAGCATAATATGAGTCCCCAAAACACTTCCTCGCATCACCTTCTATTCCATCATTCCGCTTGAATAGAAATCCAATCTCAGTAGATACATTCATGTATCTCAAAGTCCACTTGAGTGCTTCCCCGTGTGCCTGCTCAGGATCAGCCATAAACCTGCTGATCACACTTGCAGCATGTGCCAAGTCTGGCCGACTGCACACCATGCAATACATCAAGCTCCCAACCGCATTAGTATAAGGCACCTTTGACATGTACCTTTGGTCTTCATCAGTTGCAGGTGCTTGGGACTTTGAGAGTTTGAAATGCTGCTCCATAGGAGTAGACACTGCCTTGGACTGATGCATGTTGTATCTCAACAAGAACTTCACAGCATAAGACTGTTGGGATAGGAACAAGTGACCACACTGTCTGTTCCTTCATATCTGCATTCCCAAGATCATCTTGGCAGACCCCAAGTCTTTCATGTCAAACTCAACTTTCAGCTTCTCCTTGATATCATATATCTCCTCCTTGGACTTTCTTGCAATGAACATGTCATCCTCATACAACAACAAGTAAGCTCTCACCGTTCCTTATGATTCCCTCACATACACACCATGTGAGACAAGTGTTGTAACATTCACCTGTTCCAATACAAGGTCATACTGAGCTACTAGTGCCAACATGATTCTGATTGAGTAATGCTTTACCATCGGTGAAAAAATTTCATTGAAATCTTTCCCTTTCACCTATGAGAATCCCCTAACAACCGATCTAGCCTTGAACCTAGGCTTCTTCACCTCGGGGATTCCCTCCTTCTTCTTGAAGAGCCATCGACAACTCACCGGCTTCTTCCCACTTGGTCTATTCACCAAAACACAAGTCCCATTCTTCTCCGATGAAGCTATCTCTTTCACCATAGCTTCAATCCTCTTCCGCCTTTCCTTCCCAAATGTTTCCTGGTAAGTGGCTGGCTCATCTTCTTCAATCTCAGAAGCAACATTGAGTGCATAGGAAATCATATCAGCTTGTCCAAACCTTGTAGGTGGTTTAATTCGCCTTCTGGTTCTATCTCTGGCCAAATGGTAATCCCTCAGATCATTCTCTAATTCAGAATTTTCGCTGTGATCAGATTCTTCTTGAGCATCTGTGGTCACAGTCTGCTCAACTGTGGTCTCTTGTGGAAACTCCACCTCAATCTGAGTACCATCACTTGAAGTTCCTTGAGTAGACTGATATCCAATCATCTTTGCCATCTTTGATTCATCAAAGACTACATCCCTACTCACAATACACTTCCCTTGACCAGGTTCCCAACACCATAACTTAAACCCCTTAACCCCGGTTGGATAACCAATGAAGGCACATTTGAGGGATCTTGGTTCTAGTTTATCACCTTTAACATGAGCTAAACAACCAAAGACCTTCAAATCAATGAAATTAGCAAGATTGCCATACCATTTATCATTTGGAGTTTTGAATTTACTTGCTGTGGTGGGGCTTCTGTTATTGAGACATGCTGTTGTTGCAACATCTTCTCCCCAGAACTTCTTACCAATAACCGTCTTACCAGACATATGGTAGATCCCATTGTTTCAGAACACCTCCAGAATGCCATTGTCCCCACTGAACGTGTGGCCACTCTTGTCTAAGACTCCAAGAGATATCAAGTTCCTCTTGACCTGAGGAACAAATCTCACTTCCGGTAAGACCCTCTCAATTCCATCTAACATCTTGATTCTTACGGAACCAACACCTTTCACATTGCAAACATCATTATTCCCCAATAAGGTTGTACCCCTCTCATTCAACTCGAGAGTTTCAAACCAGTCCTTATTTGATCTCATGTGAAAAGAACACCCTGAATCCAATATCCAATCCTCTGTTACATCACCTTCGGTGACAACAAGGACATCATAGGATTCAAATTACTCAGCTATAATACCAGTTTCTCCATTGTTCTGCCTCTGATCTTGTGCTTTCTTCTCCGGGCAATCCTTCTTGAAGTGACCAGGTTTCTTGCACCTATAACACTTCCATTCACCCCTTTCTATCAGAGTCTTCTTGCCATGTGCTAACATATATATGTTCTTCGGTTTCTTGTCCTTGAAGTCTCTCTTCTCAGATCTGCCACTGACAATGAGTCCCTCTCCTGATTCATGAGCTTTCCCTTCAAGTTTCTTCTGCAATTCTTTAGCCTTGATTGCAGATTGCACCTCTTCCAGTGATATGGTTTGTTCCCTCCCATACACCAGTGCATCCTTGAAATGCTCATAAGACTTTGGAATAACATTGAGTAGCATCAGAGCTTTATCTATAGGAAGAATAGAATTGGAGAATGGGAGAAATAATAATACGTAATATAATAGAAACCCCCATTGTTCTATGGGTTGATTTACACGAATATATATAGAGAAACATTGCAAGGTAATAGAGTTTGACTAGGTAACTAAATTCTAACTAATCTAGGTAACTCAATCATACTAGAATCCTAATATTACAAGAGTTCTATAATATAATATTCTCTAACATTATCCTCATCCTCATGCTTAACCTCAATATTCTCAAGGTCATCTAGAATCTTGTTGAACTCATCTATCTGTTCCGACAGAGGCTTGTCATCACTCATCTTGAAGGAATACAGTCTCTATTTCAAGTAGAGTCTGTTTGTGAGAGATTTGGTCGTATACAGTTGTTCCAACTTCAACCAAACGCCTTGTGCAGTGGTCTCTCTAGCTACTTCCCTAAGAGCCTTATCACCAAGGCTCAAGATGATCGAGCTGTGAGCTCTATCCATCAAGTCATTCTTTTCCTTTTCTGACAAGGAATCTGAAAGCTCTTTGGCACCCTTCAAAGCATCTATCAGCCCCTGCTGCACCAACATGGCTGTCATCTTCACCCTCCAAAGACCAAAATCACTAGATCCCGAGAACTTCTCCACCTCAATCCTGGTAGATCCCATACCGTGTGCTCAGATCTTCCCACAGACGGCGCCAATTGTTGTGGATTCAGGTCCATAGACAATAACTAGCCACACAAAATGAAAATCAAACCAAGAAAGAACGCATAGATACCACTGTGTTGACTTAACCGACTCCGTTGCAGATTATATGACTACAGTTACCACAGATCTAAAACTAAAAGCAATAAAACAGATAAAGAACACGATATTTAAAGTGGTTCGACCTGTATCACCACAGGCCTACATCCACTGTGCAGAGAGAACAAAAATCCACAAGAACAAGAAGGTTACATATTACAAGATAGTGATAACACTCAAGCTCTCAACACCTATTTCACCTAAGCTGTATTGACACTCCCCTGTGTATACCTCACTGTTTCTCTCTTGTTTCCCAACCCCAAATCTCACAAACCCTGTGAAGATTTCCCTCTAGCTTCTTCTTTTGTTCTTGAGAGATTCCTCTCTTTCCAACTCCTTAAGCATTATCCCCTTGATTAGCCTTAGCCTCCAAGCCTCTCCACCAAGTGCTTTATATATGCAGTAAACCCTAGTATAAAGCAAACTTGGTCCCCAAGTAAACCACTGAGAGCTCGACAGGTGTCCACTACAGTCAGAGTGGTCCGCACGGATTCTATCGTCTAGTGTAACAGCTCCTTACACTTTCCTGCTCATCCTTTGATTTTACTTTAACTGATGCACCAGATAAAGTATCTACTTGGCATGTACACGTGGATATGAGTCACAGAATAACAGGGTATTTTCGTAAAATAAAACATAGTTGAGGAGGTTGATTGTAATTACACAAACAAAAGAAATTTTTTCGTAATTTGACAATAACTCAGAGGTGGCCGTAATTTGCCTTTATAACTTAGATGAAAAAGTAACCAAACATTGTCAATATTTTTAACAAGAACCCCTTCATCTTTTGATATTGATGCAATAAAAATATTTTTCTGCAAAAGAAACAAGAAAGCATGATTATTAAACCAAAAGAAAAAAAAAAAAAAAAAAAATAGCTGGACAGACCACATTCTTAATTAAATGCACAGCACGTGCTCACTCTTCAACTTGACCACCTGTCTTCTTCTTTTACTCTCCTCTACTACAATTTTTTTAGTGGGGCTACTAGCCTACTACTACAGCTACCCCATCCCGGCACCCAAGAAAGAGAGACCTACACTTTCTCTGCCATCTGTCTCCGGTTGTGTTTCTTGCCGAGATTGTTTGCATTTTACCGAAAGGGTTTCTTTTCCAAAAGATTTACTTATGGCTGTAAGTTCTCTTTTCTTTGATTTTCTTGATCTATCTTTATTTACCTTTTATTGCTCAGTTTATGTAATTTGCTCTGTCGCAATTTTTGTTGTTTCGGGCTGCTGTTTCTGTTGTGTTCATGAATTTCGTTGTTGGATCTTGTCGTAATTCAAAATTAAGCTGTAATGGGATATATATATTTTAGGTGGTTCTTTGACTTTGCATAGTGATTGCTGGATCTTGGATCTTGATTGTCAGCATTTTCTGTTTGTTTATAAATGTGGAGTCGTGTATTACTACTTGCTAGAGAAGTGTGGTTCAGCCAATTCTTGATTGAGGTAATATTGTCTTGGGTAAATTAGGGCCAGGACTCCTAATGTCAAATTACGAAAAAACCTATTGTGTTTTGCTGTGTCAACTATGAATCTTCTTACGTGCCCACCCTTACGATGTCAAATTTAGTGGAATCTTCTAGATCATGTGAAATATTTTCCAGTGTGTACCCGTTTGACCTCATTCGAGCTTCACATTTTCAAACAAAATGATCATTACATTTGTCTCTTAGCTTGTAAATATCATATTGTGGGGGGGCATCAGACACTGTATTTTTGCACAAAATGAGTTAAACTAGAGAACATTTCACGGAATTTAGAGGATTATGTTGAATTTGATACCATAAGGGGGGACGTGTAATAAGATTCATAGTTGATGGATGATTATAGTTGAGGGGTGGTTGTAATAACCCAAACAGGAGGCGTTTTTTTGTAAGTTGACCTTACCTCAGGGGTGGCAGTCACTTACCCTATTTTCTTTTTATATTTCATTTGTTGGGAGTGAACACACATTATTGATAGATGCAAAAAAGTTGCGAAGAGTTTTTAGAATCGATGGTTAGTAGTCATAATCAGCCTGTGATTTAAATGATAAACGGATTAAGTCATGCATAAATGAATGGCAATTTGTTGAACAACGGGAGTTTTTAGTTCTTCTTTCATTTGAAATATGGTTTGTGAAGAGCCGAATAAATTCGATCTTGAATAAATCCAACCATCCTTATTTGACATATAGTTCAAGTTTTTTCTTTTTGAATTAGTTTTTTCTAATTTTGAGGAACGTCCTTGGTTTGAAAAGTTTGACTTTTCGTAGCATAAAATTTTCATCTTTTATGTTCCGTAAAACTTGGAGTTGCTTTTGTCAAAGGAGATCATCGTACATTACCTCGTTGTTTTTAACTCGACTTTCAACAAGTATTAGAATACAAGCACATAGCTTGTATTGCAAAAAACGTACGAATTTTAAGGAGCCCACCTCTACTCTAATACTACTTTATCTTCTACATTGATTCAAAATTATTGGTTGGTATGTGATTGACCTTTCTTGACTCTAATCAATTAGTCTGAATCTTGATGAACTGAATCGAGTTATCATTAATTTTTTTGGATTTCGTGACGATGATCAAATTATTCCTTATTGCGTATGGTGTAAAATTTGGCTTCCCGCACTTGAATTACCATAGACAGTGCACTAGATAATTGCCCAAAAAAAACAAAAAATAAGTTACGATAGATGATTTTTTTTTTTTATTATTTCTTCCTTTTATTTCGTAGGAACGCGCGCAAGTACCTAAATTTGGCAATTGGGAAAGTGAAGAAGAAGTTCCCTACACAATGTACTTCGATAATGCGAGAAAGGGAAAGAAGAGCGGTCAGATTTATCAAACCGATTCTCAAGATAATATCGAAAAATCATCCGAATCAAAAACACGAAATCACGAGCGACACTCTAGCCGAGAAGAAGAAGAGAGTGAAGCAATAAAAGGTACTCACAAAAGACAAAATCACGGAAATGAAGACAAATCGGAACGGAGGGTTCCGGAAGCTCTTAGGAAGAGGCACGAGCGTGGACCGAGCAGAGAAGAAGGCGAGATGAGGAGAGCTATTATGGATTCTCCATTGAGGAATAGTAGTTCCAACTCGCCACGTCATCGCCTAGGTGGCGAAACCCCGAAGAGGGTTGCCGCTAGGCAGGGTTTGGGGCCCGATCAGTCGCCACATCATCCGAATTCGAGGGTCGGTGGGAAAAATAATAATAATGGGATTTCTTCTCCTTCTTGGGAAAGGAAAGGTGCATCCGAAGGAAGTAGCCATCATGGCCTTGCACCTTTGACACCTGGCAGATCGCGATTGAGATCTGTTACACGAGGCGATGACTCGGTAATGCTCTCTCTCTCTCTCCATCTCTCTCTCTCTCTCTCTCTCTCTCTCTCTCTCTCTCTCTCTCTCTCTCTCTCTCTCTCTCTCTCTCTCTCTCTGTATATATATATATATATATATATATATATATATATATATATATGTATGTATGTATGTATGTATATACACCTCATAATCCCACTTTTGTTTTTGTTTTTAGTACCCCTATGTTATATCGAATTGCTAAAAAGGTCCTGTGTTATTAATATTCTCAAAAACCCCCCTATAATGCATTTTTTACCACATAACCCCCTAAATGATGAGTTTTCAGGTGTAGTTTGCTAAACAAATTGCATTATTGGGGGATGTTTGCTAATATTAATAGTATGAGGACCTTTTAAACAATTAGAGTAAACGCAACAGGGGTGCTGAATGCAATAATTATAGGAGGCAGTATCTTGATTCTTGATCTATTAGATAATTATGTGTTACACTCCTGTAGTTCAACTATAGTCCTCGAGTACAAGATTTTGATATTGATGCATAATAATCCTAACGAGGCCTTAGCTGATAATTCAATTTAAGCATGTCACAATGTTATTTCCAATGTCCCCTATTAAAAAAAATGATTTTATTGGACACGTGTCAGCCTGATAGGAGCCCTGCAGTTCCAAAATTCGGTGATTGGGACGAAACGGACCCCGCATCGGCAGAAGGGTACACACAGGTATTCAACAGAGTGAGAGAAGAGAAACATAGTGAAACTGGAAAAGTACCGATCATGCCTACTGAAACATCTTACTCCAATTCTCAGAAGCAATACCGAAACGATAATTCAAAGGTAATTATAATATTTAATTTTCTTGTAACATTTTATTTTAGACAATTTGCACCAATTTATGTTGATTTCTTAAGATGGTAAATTTTATTTTATTTTTTTCGTTATTTGTTTTAGGGATGCTCTTGTTTTCCGTGGTCGAAAAGGTGACGGATAATCACGGCGTATGTAGTCCGGGAGGGCGGTGTATATCGGCATATTCTTGAAGCTTATTTTTTGTATAGAGATTGAGGTAAAGTAATAACATTCATTGGTTGCTTATGAGGCACAAAATAATATTTTTGTTGCACGAGATTAATTTTTTTCTTGGTCCGGTATTTTTTTTGAATTTGCATAATCTCCGTATTCAGTTACTCCTTGAATGTGTACAAAACGTGTTTCTTTTTCTTTTTCGAACATGATGCTTTTGGTTATTGCAACTTTTTATTCATTGTTCACTACATTACCTGTTTATTGAGTAAATAGAGAAAATGAGAAGGATTGTTAAGAATAATATAAATACGAGAAGGGTGTCGATAAATACGCTCCAAAATTTTCATATGCACTTGATCCGTGTTCGAAGGGTACATGAAGTATTCGGAGCGTAGTATTTATGGTCGCTATTATAGAAAACATGTGGTATGCTAATATTATGTTTTGTGTATTACATTTCTTCTTCTTTAGGTTGATGATTTAATATTTCCTTGCAAGTTAAACTCTTCACTGTCCAGATTCTTATACTTTTCTTACGTTAGAGTATACGATCAGATAATCTTGGATGGTATTAAATTTCAACTTGATTGTGAACATTTCGAGTTTTGAGCGTAATTATACTAAGCAATTAATAACTAATATGCAAGGTAAGGTAGAGACAAGATAACATTGTTCTTTGGAACTGAAGTTTGCTAGAAAAGCATACTATTCAACATATTACTTTTGCAACTTATGAAATTCCTTCCTAATTTAGGATTTTATGTATATTGTAAAACTGAAAAGCATGCCAAAATGTCAATATATTTCATAATGTATAAAGTATAAACACACCTTTACAATGTACTATATATGATACTGCGCGACCTCGTTTGGTTGGGGTTGTTAGCCACTATTAACTAAAGTATAGGGCCTCGTTTGGTTGGGGTTGTTAGCCACTATTAACTAAAGTATAGGACTTTGTTTCGATGCTTGGGATTCCCAATAACTTGTCGGGTCTAAGTGCGAACATTATGTTATCATGACTTATTTTACAGCTTTTCTGTAAGACGTCGTGAGGCCCGATAAAATAATTTGATTTTCATTAGATTAAGGGTAAATTACAAACACCCCCCTGAGGTATGATCAAGTTACAAAAACACCCCTCTTGTCTGGATAATTACAACCACTCCCTCAACTCCTCAAATTTAGTGGAAGCTTCGAGATTATATGGAATATTATCACTTTTGTATTCGTTTTATCCTATTCGAACTCTACATTATGAAGTAAGATGATCATAATATGTGTTTTTTAGCTTGAATATATCAGTTTGTGGTGCATCGGAAACAGTATTTTTACACAAAATGAGTACAAACTAGAGCACATTTCACGAAATCTAGATGATTATGTTGAATTTGGCAACATAAGGGTGGAGGTGTAAGAAAAAATCATAGTTGAGGGGTATATGTAATTATCCAAACAAGAGGGGGATTTTTGTAATTTGACCATACCTAGGGGGTGTTTGTAATTTACCCTTAGGGTGCATTTGGATGGAGGGATTTGGGGGAGGGATTTCAAATCCACAATAACAAATCCCTCGAACTTGTTTGGATTGAGGGATTTGGAGATGGATTTGAAATCCCCACCCCTCCTTTTTAGTTGATTTTGGAGCAATAGTGATGGATTTCAAATGACTCCAAAATTGGAGTCATTTCAAATCCATTCCCCAAATCAAATCCCTCCCCAAATCCCTCCATCCAAATGGACCCTTAGATTAATTAATCTTATTATGGCAAAATGAAGCGCGAAAAGATCCTTCAAAATGTTATTCACAGGGGAATGTGATTGGATATGACATGAAATATTTGAGTGAACATTTGAATCTCAACCCACAGGCCGAATGAAAGGTTTTGAGTTCGAATCCCATAGCCACCCGTTTCAAATATTTCAAGTGTAAAGCTTTAAATGTAATTTGTCTGCCCTTGATGGGGCGAATTGAAGATATTAATATTGATGATATATTTCTCTAAGAGCTTAAACTTTTGGTGGAAGTGATCATTCAACACTGAGTATTATATCAAGGCCAATCAAGTTAATCAAACATGTTGCCATATATATATATATATATATATATATATATATATATATATATATATATAGACTAATTACGAATATTTGCATTCCACTTGTCATATACAAATATTGAACGAACAAAAATACATAAATAATTCAACCAGGAAACAAAGCCACATGAAAAAGAAAATTGAGAAACATAAATAGGTTTACAAGAAAGAAAACCCGACAACTTCATTAAGTGAAATCAAACCGGAGGCAAATTTACGAACATGAATGCCAATGTACTATCAAAAAATTATAATCTAAAACAAGTGTAGTTGCTCCAAAACCTGTGGAATGATAATTTGTTAGACACAATTGGATTTTCACAACTTTGATTTTTTTTTTTTTAAATCATAATATATGTACTAAATATGTCAGCTATATTAATATATAGCTTTTACCTTTTAGGAGTAGAACCGCTCTTGAGACGAGATGAGTGACCGCGTGATACAATTATCGGTATGTTTTGGATATCTTGTTCACAAACATTACATTTGTCGTGGCCTTTCTTCTTTGTCCATTCGACTTCACACGATCGATGAATCATGGCAAATTTACATTTGCATTTTGTTTGGAACATGTTGTCATTGTATACGTTGAAGCAGAATCTGCAAATTGCTTCCTCTTTCGGTATTTTTGTAGCCCCTCCTAAAAGTTAGCACAAGCAGAAACATGAAAAGTATTGACAAGAAATAACAATACCAACACCAACAACAACAACAACAAAATAAAAATAATAACCTAAAATCTTATTAATATATATAGGAAATGACTTTTTTCGTAAGTAAGAAATTGGTTTTGATCATTTTCGTTCCATAATATTCGGATTGCACAAATTCATTCCGATTACGGAACGCCTCGGCATTGGCGAAATTTCAAAACTACATTAATTTATAATTTATTGTTCCAAATTCGGATATAGTAGGAATTTTCACATCAAGTTTCTATCTTTTTCAAAGTTTTGCAAGAAAATGCAAGAAAATCCAAAAGAAAGTTCAACAACAAAATGAAACATAATTTTTCTGATAAGAATGCTGAGAGGTTTTTTGATACCAATTAATCTTTTATAAAGCTTTAATTTACTCGACTATACCGTATTCAAAATTTTCATTTAAGACATAACATAATTTCTAGTATGTACTTAAAAAATATATATCATAAGATAGTAGAAAAAAAAGGGTTGTTTTGTTTACTACGATCATTTACCATAACAAAATGAACCAAATTCGTAGTAAAAAGTTTTTTGCTACACATTTGCTACGAATTTCCTCTCTAACATAAACGGGCGTGACAAAAACTTTGCTACGGTAAATGAACTTAGCAAATACTTTTTGCTACGGTAAACTCTAGTATTTACTACGATTCGAAGATTGTCCCATAGTAAAAGGTACCTTTTGTTACGGCTTTTTACCGAAGCAAAAAAATCGTAGTAAAAAGTCATTTTTCTACTATTGTACTTTTCAAAAAACTATCGAAATATTGGAAACTAAAATCGGATCGAAAATCAGAATTTCGATAATTTTATACGCAATTCCGATTTCGATCCAAATAAGTTCGAAAAAACCCAAAAATCAAAATGAAAAATACATTTCCAAATTTAAATATTTTCAGATTTGAATTGGCGGAATTCATAAATTCCATTACAACATCCCCACCAATCTTTCCATATATTATATAGGGGCTTGCTATTATCAGTGCGATTTTTTCCAGCTACAGTGCGAAATAATTCATTTGTCAAAAAACACTTTAACCTTTTACAAAATCCTCTCAACCTCCAAATATTTCGACTTTCGTAGATCGTGATTTGTTTTCGTAGAAATCAGTTAAAACCCAACGATTATCAAGATGGCCAACATCGATCCCGTAAATGAGGTAAAAAAATACGTTTTAGTGTGATTTTTTTCGATTTTCAGTCGTTTCGTGTAGAATATCACGAAATTATTCAAGTCATTTCGTGGTGTTTTGCACGAAATGAACACTTTATTCGTGTTTTCCAGTCATTTCGTGTACAATACTACGAAATTATACCTATTATTTCGTGTAAAGTCACACGAAATAGCAGTAAAACTGTTTTGTTATTCATTTCGTGCAGTACTACACGAAATGTATACATATATTTCGTGTAATTGTACACGAAATACCTAGTATGGTTATTAAATTTTTTTGTGCAAGTATCTAACCTTTTTTTGGTATTTACGCAGCCATATGACGACAATTTGTATTTTGATCCCTCGGTTTTGGATCAAAATGAATATGAAGATTTCTCTCACTTTTTCCAAGTTGATATTGTGTTCGGCAGTAGGGAAGAATTAATCAACTGGGCGAAAGAAACTGCAGTTAGTCATTGTCACCGTTTGATTTGTCAGTCTAGAAGGGAGAATGCACAGTACATGACGTGTGACAAATACGGACATGGCCGACAAACGAATATCGATATGGAAGATCCTAGAAACACAGGAACAAAAAAATGTGGTTGTCCGTTCAAATTGATTGGCAAAAGGTCAAGGTTTGATGAATTATGGCGGTTGACTGTCAGCGATGGCAGGCATAGTCATCGTCCGGCTTTGTTTCCTCACGGACAAGGTACGACTAGTCGTATAACTCCACAACAGAAAGCAAGAATTAAAGAATTGCGAAATTCTCACGTGAAGCCAATGTTGATCATGGATAGACTGAGGAAAGATGATCCGACGATACAAACCTCTATGAAGCATGTTTACAATGAGTTGGCCAAGATTAAATCTGAGGAAATTGAGGGCATGACTGTTATTCAGTTTATGATGCATAACTTTCAAAAAGGCGAGTATCGATATTGGCATCGCGTCGATAGTGAAACGAGCAACACGATTACAGATATTATGTTTGCATGTCCCGAATCTATTAAGTTATTACGGCTGTTCCCGTATGTTATATTGATGGACTGCACATACAAAACAAATAAGTAAGTAAAAATTACGATTGTTTAAATTACGATTATTGTGTTTTAATGTCTTGTATTGTTTAAATAAGTAAAAACAACATTGTTGTAGGTATGGAATGCCTCTTTTGGAAATAATTGGGATAACTCCAGTTGGGAGGAATTTTACAATTGCTGTTGCATTTATGTCGCATGAAGATGCAGACACTTACGAGTGGACTTTGAATTGTTTGAAAGAGTTGCTGGATGGTGTCGAACCTGATGCGATCTTGACAGACAGGGAGTTGGGTCTTTTATAAGCACTGTCAAATGTCTTCCCATTTTCGTATCATATGTTGTGTATATTCCATATAAACAGAAATGTTGAGGCAAATGCGACGAAATTTATGGGAGGCAACAAGGACCAAGGTCTAATATTCCGACGTGTGCTGTGGGCTAAGCTGGTGAAATCAGAAACCGAAGAAGAGTATCATTACAATTACAATGAAATTGTTGGACGGTATGCACGGTATCCTAGGCTGATACAATATTTGAATGATACGTGGTTGATATACAAGGAGAAGTTTGTTCGAGCCTATACTCGCAATGTGTATCATTTTGGCAACACGAGCACCAACAGGTATTACATGTTTTAGTTATTTAAATGATAAAAGATATTATATAAAAATAATATTTATTTTGTAATTTGATTGTCGTTGTATGCTCTGATTGTTGTTGTAATTGGATAGGGTGGAGAGTGCTCATTCTTCAGCGAAGGGTTGGTTAAATGCTTTGACCGGAGGTCTGGATAGCGTGCAAGGCAAACTTCGGGACCAAGTTTATATCCAAATTAGTGAGCTGAAGTGCGATTTTTCATTATCATCCAAGATAAGGAAGCATACTGCAACATGGCCGTGTTTTCGGGGTTTGATTTGTTATGTTACGCATCTGGCATTAGAGAAATTGGATGAAGAGATGGAGTCCCCGGCGATGCAAGATCCGAGTATTTGCACACACTATCTTTGGAATACTCATGGGCTCCCATGCGCGTGCAAAATTGTGCAGAAAATGGAAGATAATGACAAGTTCGTCATTTCAGACTTGCATCCATTCTGGAGTACCATGGCAGTTGAGCCTTCGGAGCTACCTGAGTATCAAGTAAACCGCGAGGAGATTGTGGATAGACAGATTGATGACCTGAATTGCAATTTGAAGAAGATGAATTACATGAGTAAGATAAATGCCGTGGCCTCATTGCGTGGCATCGTTTATGTTAGAGTAGGTGACCAACAAGCCAACATGTGGCTGTGGTCTTTCGTATTTATTATTGTAATAAACGAACCTTCATTTGTATTAATGATAAAACACATTGGAATCCGGAGGAACCTTGTGTATACAAGAAGGTTAGTGGGAGGGCAGTGATATTTTTAGTGCTTTACGTTGATGACATTCTACTCATTGGGAATGACGTAGGAATGTTGCAACAAACGAAAGCATGGTTGTCCACACGTTTCTCAATGAAGGATTTGGGAGAAGCATCTTATGTATTAGGAATACGCATCTATAGAGATAGAGCAAGAAAGATGCTTGGCTTATCCCAAAGCCTGTACATAGACACCGTTATGAAACGGTTTAGCATGGAAGAATCCAAGAAGGGATTCTTGCCAATGTCCCATGGGGTTCGTCTCTCGAAATCTATGTGTCCCCAAACACCTAGTGAAATCGAGGAGATGAAAAGGACGCCCTATGCTTCTGCCATAGGAAGCATAATGTATGGCATGCTATGTACGAGACCCGATATTGCGTATGCTGTGAGTGTCACAAGCAGATATCAGTCTAACCCCGGCCCGGCTCACTGGAAAGCCGTGAAAGATATCCTCAAGTACTTGCGAAGAACTAAGGATATATTTTTGGTCTATGGGGGTGCCGAGTTGAAATTAGAGGGTTTCACTGACTCTAGTTTTCAATCGGACGTGGACGACTCAAAGTCGAATTCTGGATTTATATTCACGCTTAATGGTGGTGCCGTGTGTTGGAAGAGTTCCAAGCAAAGCACGACGGCCGATTCCACTACCGAAGCGGAATACATTGCAGCGTCCGAAGCTGCAAAGGAGGGGACTTGGATAAGGAAGTTCATCCAAGAGTTGGGTGTCATTCCTGATGCTAGTGATCCAGTACCGTTGTACTGTGATAACACCGGAGCCGTGGCACAAGCTAAGGAGCCGCGATCTCATCAGAAGTCGAAGCATATTCTGAGGAAGTATCACGTGATCCGAGAGATCATTGATAGAGGTGAAGTTAAGGTTGAACGAGTCACCTCGGAAGAGAACGTTGCAGACCCCTTCACGAAGCCTTTACCGAGATCGGTCCATGAGAAACATCGAGAGTCGATGGGATTGCGATTTATGGGTAGTTGGCTTTAGGTCAAGTGGGAGATTGTTAGAGTAGGTGACCAACAAGCCAACATGTGGCTGTGGTCTTTCGTATTTATTATTGTAATAAACGAACCTTCATTTGTATTAATGATAAAACACATTGGCATTCTATATCTTTGTCCCTTTGTCACAAGCATAGATATAGTCCTTACAGTTATTACAAGTACTAGTAATTGATCGTTAGGATCGTGAGATATTTACTTAAGTATTATAACTGTTAAACGTGTTCCTAGTCGAAGGGTTACGCCACTAATGAGGATATCGGCCTTTCCCATTAAGACTAGCACTTAGTGTATGTGTACTGCATCTCATCAGTAAACGGTATTGTGATATCGGCATGCATAAGTGGGTGCTCGTAAGTTGACGAGTTCACTGAACTCCCTCACCCTAGAAATCTCTAAGTGGTTCCCAATAATCGAGTAGAGATATCTATGGTATAGTTGTACACCATTAGTCCTTATGACCTAGACATCACCGTGACTTCACTAGAGGACCAGCTGTATCGTGACCTGTCCCTGAGTTCCACCGAGGACCATCCCAAGGGCCAGTGTTCGTGCAGTCCGAAATCTAGTGGGAGGTCTGTGCATTGTAGTCGGGGATTCGATCGCTAGAATAGTCTTGGATGTCCTGTGTGTTCTGAAAGTTTGTAATCATTCTAAGTCTCTGGCCAGAGCTGACTAAGTGATGATTAGAGAATTCGATTCTTTAAGTCATGCACGTAAGGATTACAACACTTAGAACGATCGCACCGTTATTGAACATATAAAGAGGTCTCGATGAACCAATGCCTCTAGTTCGATCGGGACATGTGCATCGAAGGGACCGTACTGTACGTTAACTATATCTGAAGGTTCTTGCAGGCACTTCATTTGTATCTAGGGAATCATGACGCGTAGTTGCTAGACGCCAATCTTGATTCGTTGGGTGATTAAGGTGAAACGAGTTTCATCTTAATCGTAACTCTAACGGGACGAGTTTTGACCACAAAGGGTTGTGGGCCCACGGCTAGCTTACACCTGAACCATCGAGGGTCACACTGCTCGTGTACATGAGATCTTTGAATAAACGGTCAAAGGTAAAATATGTTTATCTTTGCATGATTGGAAGTCAATATGATTGGGTCCAACATTCGTAATTTGGAATTATGAATGAGAATAAGAAAAGGAAAAGAATAGGCGAACGTATTAGTGAACCTTCTAAATCGGGAAGTTTCCAAATTTAGAAAGTGCACTGAATTAGGGTTTCCACTTTTGGAAAGTTGGAAATCGAGAGTTGGAACTCGTAATGACGAGGACATTATAATGATTCCGAAAATGTAATCGTTACAATTTTCCGATCATTGAATTGAGAGAGACGAGCAAGTAAAAGAACTAACGGACTTAAGCTGTTGGGCCATGTCCAACTTAAGCCCGTTAGGGTTTTATGCAAGACATATAAATACTTGATTTATAGGTCTTGCACAAACACAACTAAGAGAACACACGTTCATAACCCTAGCCGCTACCTCTCTCGATCAGCCACCCTCTCCCACGGCCACCACCACCGCGCCGTCGCCGGAAATTCGCCGGAATCGGCCACCCGTTGGCCGATCTCTTTCGGTATTCCTTTCCTTCTTTCTTTTCTTCCGTTATTCTGACTATTACGTGTCTAGTGCCACGTGTTTAGTAGATCGAAGTATACGAGGTGAAATCCAAGAGGAGGAAGATCGAAGAATCGAAGATGCGAGAAGGCAATTCCGAAAAACTGCTCTCGGATTTTCTGCGCTGCCCACCGAGAAAATTCGCCATAAATCAACCGGTCATCCGATGGACGTGAAATTTTGACAGCAGCTTCACGACTCATAAATCTACCATCGTCCAGAAGGAATTGTTCATCCAGTAAATACGCATGGAGATACGGAAGTCGGAGCAAGGCTGTAATTTCAGATCAGCAAACAGGTTGGATCAATAGGAGTGGGAAGAGCAGCTAGCCATCTTCTCTGCGCGTGAATCACATGCGCCGCCGTAGCTCGGATCATTGCCGTTGCTGCCCCGGATTGCACGGATTGGTTTCCGTGGCAATCTAGCTTTGCTTAGTGCGACTACCTCACGCTCCAAGAGGTAATGTTTCGAATCTATTGTCATTCGATTCGGTTACGTTTAAATTAATATATGCATGTTCGTTTTAATAAGAAACTTGTATGATTTTATGTGACTACATGAAATTGGTTTTATTATTGCGAGCATGATTATTTGATTTAAACGCGAGCATGCTAATTGATTTAATTTCGATTAAGTAATTAAGCATGTTGTTGTTTTAATTTCGCTGGAAGCGCAAAGGTACGCAATGTATGTTGTTTTAATTTCGCTGGAAGCGCAAAGGTACGCAATTAATTGATTAATATTGTCGGGCATGTGCTTATGTGTTTTAAAGTCGTTTAAATCGCATAAAAATTTTGTTTTCCGTTGCGTACGCGTGCCCGAAACCCAACAGTGGTATCAGAGCTCGTTGCGTAATTAATTGCGTTGTATAATATGCTATGATTTTATGCATGTTCGATTTATTAAAGTAGTGATTGTTGTATTATGTAATTGGGAGTTTTCGTAAGTTTAAAATATTTTTGAAATATTGTTTAGAATTTTTCCAGCTTTAAAATTGTTTAAAATTGGAAAATCGGATCTGAAATTGTTTTTAAAAAACGTCGGTTTTTGTTGTTCGGATCGAACCGGTCGAACCGGCCGGTTCGATGGTTGTGTGCGATTTAGTTGACCGAATCCACGTGGATTCGGGTCGGTCAGGCCGGTTCCCGGTCCGACTGACCCGGCCCACTGATTTGGGTCAGCTGGACCGGACAGAACCGGACCGCTTCGGTCCGAACCGGTCAGACCGGTTGGGCCGAACCGGTTCGCTGAAAATAAAATAAAAAAATAAAAAAAAAAAAATTATTTTAGATTTCTAAAATTAAACTTAAAACAAATTGATTTTAATTTTTGGAAAATTATTTTCAATTAATCCCAATTAGATAATTGGATCAACAATCATCTATTTTAGTAAATAGGTGTTAGATTAATCAAATTGATTTAAATTGTTAAATTGAATCAATTAATAGAACACATATATAATATTGATTATAGTTCAACTTAATTAGTAGTACCTCAACATTATATGAATGATTTATGCTAGTTGAGGTTCTATAATTATTTTGAAAATCCGATAATTAATTAATGTAATTAATTATGTAGTTAGGTCGTATGTTCCTCTTAGGACAATATGCGTTTCCATATACCTTTAGAGAACATAGATGTAGGAATCACATAGACCAATCCAAACCTTCTGATGAGATAAAACATTTTAATAAAAATCCCTCATTCTTAATTTAATTAAGAATCATTTCAAGCTATAAAGAAAAACCCAATCTGTTGAGTTATTTCTTTCCTTCTGCCAACGGTTGGATTATGTGTAGCCCTTTACTATAGTGCAGTAAGCCGTGTTAGCGGGGAGTGCTATGGTAGAGTAAGCTGTAATTCAATTGACATAGTGATGAAGGTAGCCGTAGAAAAGGGTTATGTTGAATTAACGTGGTCGGCTAGATTAACTAGGGACTGCATTAGTTTGGCATAATCAAGTTCTATGAGCATCTTTGATTGGTAGGTTAGACTTGACACACGACGATTTTGATATTCGCGAGATTAACTTAGGTCATTATCAAGTGTGAGGAAAATTAATTTAGGGTCATATTGTGGATATGATTGATTGTGATCTACCTTTGGGCAAATATAATCGGGCTAGATTAACTACGGGTTATATTTGTCTATTGGACCTAAAGCCCATTAAGAAAAATCAGTTTTCTCGTTTGTC